ATTATCTTTCGTATTTGTCCTGCTACTTTTACCCAAATGTGTGCGTGTGCTCACGTTCATACGCAATACCGGTCCAAATTCAAAGTGATCAAAAAAGCTAATATCAGGCTTTGTCCATCAGGGCTTAATGACCCAATCAAAAGTCCTGACCGAGATTGCGTAAGTCCGGGAACAAGTATTCTTGAGAAATTAGATGCAAGTTTGTAGCTGTGCAAATCATGTTACGAAATCGTTTGTCGAAAATTCCCAGTTTAATATCATTAAGGATTAACCACTTAAGGAAAGGAAAGACTCGGTTTGCTTAATCATGTTCGTCTTTTCTATATAGATTCAATTAAGCAGAAGATAATTAAAAAGCCTAAATAGATATAGAACGGTTTGGATAATTATCTTTCGTCTTGGTTCTACCGCTTTTGTTAGAGTGTCTGTGTGTGTGTGTGTGTGGGTATGTTGACATGAATTCGAAATATTCTGTTCCTAAATCAGTGTTTAAATAACAAATTTCAGGCATCAAGACCTAAATACCTAAAAGAAAACACTAACTTAAACTGCGTAAATCCTTAAGCAATAATGGATGGGATACTGAGATGTAAATTTGTAAGTGTGTAATTCAATTTACTAAACTAATTTTCGTAAGCTATGAATCTAGTGTAATTAACTTTTGACCACCTAAGAAAATTCTTGATTAGGTCTGTGTAATCTGGCACGTCTGGTTTAGTTGATGGGCTTAATCTTTCATTTGGGAATTGAGTTTATATGAACCCTCTAACTATGTTCTATAAAGCCATATTTAGAGAGAAATATGACAAAGTATCGAGATCAAGCTTCTGTAGATTTGCTTGTTCTTATGGTCGATCTTATTTTGATGAGACATGCCGACCTATTCGACAAAGATTGGTAGAAAACAAAAAGGCTTATAAAGGAAGCTAGGTCCTACGGTACGAAGAAGCTGAACACATGGCAGAAACTGGACATGAGATAAACTGGCCTCATGCTCGTGAGTTTGCTGATTAAGGTTCCTCTGCTGTTAAATAAAAGATAAGATAGGCTATTGAAATTAATTAATTAGTGAATAAGTTAAATGGGAAAAATGGTGGTAGAAAGTTGGCTATGAACAATTTAAGCTTGATTAAAAGATTAAGGGAAGAGAGGGTGTTGAATAGCTATCCAAAAGGAGGCGAGTCAACTTTTCTGCTCAGTAATAGTTTTAACTTCACTCACACTCGCCCAAATTGTTAGATTAAACTCATTAACCAATTCAGACGTGCAAGATTACGCAGCCCTAATCATGCCTTGGATTGTTACGGTTGATGACAATAGACTGAAAGATTAGGACAAATGGTTTCGCAACTTGACTTATATGCTTATAAGATTTAATCGCACTAACTTAGCTATAATTGCTTACGGACTTACACCGTTTCGATTATGGTTTTCTCTTGGATTAATATGTTTTAATGACTAGATCATTAAATTATTATTTTTAACATAGATTTATGACCGGTATTGCATATTAACGTCAACATAAACACGCACACATACATATACACGAACAAATGTAGCCGGACCAATACGAAAGATAATACACCAATTAATTCTATATCTATCGAGGCTTTTTAATTTTATTTTGCTCATTTGTCTCTCTATAAGTTGTAAAACAGTGGCTTACAGTCTTCTTGCCTTAACGTTAACTTAACACGTTTACAAGAGTTAGATCCAGTTCTGATGCTGCCCATCATATGATGGAAAAAATCTGAACAACGATTCATACGAAGCGAGGAGGGATATAACGTTTAATCCGTCAGCATGAACGTCGTATTAATGAGAAAAGGCTGTAGTACAACGGGATGCAACCCTTTTCTTCTGGTGATTTCGACCTACGAGTCTCATCTGCATTAAATTACAAAATAAATGAAAGTACTCCAACAATATATAAGCTTAAAACGCATGCAATGAGACACGATATTTACAATGGATAATAAATAAAATGAATTATTGAATAGACTGTCTCTGTCAATTTTATATGAATATTTTATCAGCCTAAATAATAAACATAGAACAAAAAATAAAACAATTAAAATAAAATTTTTTGGTTATTTAATTATTATAGATTAGAAAAATTATATAAAATTTACATATTTAATTAACTTTATTGATACACATTTATAATCTGAATTTTAAAAAAATTTTATTTTATTTTATTTTAATTTTGTGCCGCGAAGTCAGACAGCTGCGTCTATGGATCCGGCTAAGGCTCCTCAGGGTTGGTTTAGTTTATCTGTAAAAGAAATATTAATACACTTTATGATGATTCAAAACTTAATTTCAAAATTACTATCAATTATTATTTAGATAACTAAAATGCTTAGACCCCTCATTTTATTATTTTTGTTGGAATAGATCTAGGATTATTTTTGGCCTATATATCTAAGCTGCAATTTTTATAGAAAATATAAGTAAATCAATATATCTCAATTGTGCTTTTATTAATCTGTAGTATTTTATTACTTAATATCTATTATTTCATACAAATTTTATTTTAACTACAACAATGCAATTTTTATATATATCTTTATACATAGTCACTTACAAAAAAATTTTTAAATCTCATATTATATTATTTATGTTCACATATTTTTATGCTATTCTATTTTCTAGGTTTTATAGACAATATTCGTCGGAGAAAGCGAAGGGAGCTCACTCCTGAACAAAAGCAAGAAATATGTGAGGCCTTTGATCTTTTCGACACTGATAAAGATAATGAATTGAGCTATTATGAATTTAAAGTTAGCAAACATCGGGCTATTCCTAGTTTAGGTAGCATTAAGGGCTTTGGGTTTTGAAATGAAGAAGCCGGATGTCCTAAAAATGCTTCAAGATTACAATATCAAGGATGAATCTGGAAAATTGCGTTGGGAAGATTTTAATGAAATAGGTTTGCATATTTAAACAGTAGATTTTGTATTTTTATATGCTTTTAATTTTAATCTTTAAATATTTTGATTATTTGAACATCCTCTTGTAGTTACTGATATGTTACTAGAGCGCGATCCCACCACCGACATAATTCGGGCTTTTAAATTATTTGATGATGATGATTCTGGAAAGATTACTTACCGCAACCTTAAGAAAATTGCTCGGTAAAAATTATTGTTTTTAAACTCAATTTTTCGTTTGTCCTTTTTCTATTCTGATTTTTACTTATGACTTCTATTAAAGCGAAATCGGTGAAGCTCTTAGTGATCAGGAGCTTCGTGCTATGATAGAAGAATTCGATAAGGATGGCGATGGGGCTAGTAAGATACATGACTCTTCTGTTTAATTTTTAATTGCTTCGTATCCTTACAAATCTTTTTTTAATAATAGAATAAAATTAATTCTTATTACTTAATTTGAGCCTCCTTGATTTTTTCATCACCTTTCTCTTGTTATAAGGCTTTTTGACATTTTTATACGTGTGCTATCAGGGTTTATTGTCACAACTAAATATTTATTGCATGCATTGATTGGTCTATACGTAAAAAGTAACTCGTAATAGTTGAATTAAAGCTGTAGGTAGCTCGCTTTAACTATTCTGAACAGTCAAACCACACATTTAGGATTATGAATTGTGATATATGCATAAAGGTGAAAGCATAGAGCTTTAGATTTACAAGCCTGTAACACTAGAAGACTGCTTTTAAATAAACAGTTCTTAAATGGTAGGAGTATAGGAAAATG